TGATCCTCAAGGCCCTGACCTGTAAAGTGGAGATGATAAATCCTCCTAAGATTGAGAGTTCACTAAGATAATGCACTGCCAAGTGTGTGGCCCCTCGTGGTTAATAAATGGTAGCTGCCTTTATGTTTGTCTCCAAACACATTACCCATCTTTTGAAATCTGTGTCAGTGCCATTCCCTTCCAGACTCCCTTTGGGACCTTCCCACTTCCTGGCCCAGTCTTCCTCCTTCCGCTGCACCCTGTCAGCTGCTGCGCTTCTCCCTGGGACTGTTTTCGTACTTGCCACACAGTCCCGCCATATCCTTCCCCAGCTGCCGTCTCCAAGGAAGAAGTGATTAGCACGGTACACAAGCAGGGGATACAGCAATCAACTGCCCGATGACTTCCATATCAGGAAATGAGCGCCTTGGCTCCCTGCTGGAGAGGAAGACAGCAGCCAGGCCCTCTCTGAGTCTGAGATGAAAATGAGGCTCACGGCTTTAGGAACACAGCTACTGACACGTGGCTTTTAAAAGTAACTGTGTTTCTCAGAATATGAAAGTACTCAGATTTATTGTGGAAAACCCAGATGATCTGCAGTGTACCCAGGAGCAGGCATTGACGTAGCAGTTCCCAGCTGAGATGCCCCTGTTCCATACTGGAGCACGTGGGTGCGAGTTCAGGCTCTGCTCCCAGTTCCAGCTTCCTGCTAATGTGCGTCCTGGCAGGCCAGCGATTGACCAACTAGTTGGGTCCCTGACACCTATGTGGGAGACCCAGATGGAGTTCCAGCTCCCAGCTCTGAACAAGCCCAGCCCTGGCTATTGCAGCCATTTGGAGAGAGAACCAGAGGATTTAAAAATTTGGATTCTGTTATACCGGAATTGGGTATATCCCAGCATTTTCACCCAGTGTGCGAGGGGCATTTTCTCATGATACTAAATGTCATACAAAAATACTAATTTCCCAGGATGTCTGCGTGGCACAGGGAGTTATGCTGCCACTTGGCATGCTCACATCCCACAGCAGAGTCCCTGGGATCTGGTACTGCCTTCACCTCGGATCCAGCTTTCTGCTGCCGTGCCTGAGAGCAGATGATGGCTCAGGTACTTGGGTTCCTGCAACCAATGGGTTAGACCTGGAGGGGGGTGTCTGGCTCCTGGCTTCAGCCTGATCCAGACCTAGCTGTTGCAGATATTTGGGGAACAAATCAGCAGATGTGTCGCTCCCCCTCTTCGTGGAGGAACGACACTAGACACTGCCTAGGTTTCCTATCCGAGTCACGGCACCATTATGTCGCTCCCCGTCTTCGTGGAGGAACGACACAGGACCCTGCGCTGTTCTTTTGTCTGCTCGGCCCTTCCCGGGTTTGCTGCTGGTTCTTCCCGGGTTGGCTACCAACCCTTCCACCTCCGTGGAAGGGCGGTTCCCCCTGCCACTTTCCCCACTTCCGCGGGGGAGCGGCACACCGCTGGACGGCTCTCTCGGGGGCTGCACAGGTGTTCCTCTTAGATGTTCCTGGTGCATGTTGTCTCTCTCCTCCTTTATAGTCCTCTTCTGCCAATCCCAACTCTGCCGGGTACGCTGCTCTCCTCCAATCAGGAGCAGGTCCTACAGTTTGTCAAGTTGGTGAGAGGCAGCTGTACGCTCCTCTCCCAGCGCCACATTGTGGGAGAGCAGATGCATAGAATAAGTCTTAATTCCAGTAACAGTATAGTCCGAGTTGCTCCCCACACAGATGGAAGATCTCTGTCTTTGTCCTTCTCTTATCACTCTGCCTTTTAAATAAATAAATAAACATTTTTAAAAATGTTAATTTTCGAGCCTGCGCCATGGAAGTTAATCCTCCACCTGAGGCCCCAGCATCCCATATGGGCACCGGGTTCTAGTCCCGGTTGCTCCTCTTCCAGGCCAGCTCTCTGCTGTGGCTCGGGAGGGCAGTGGAGGATGGCCCAAGTGCTTGGGCCCTGTACCAGCATGGGAGACCAGGAGGAGGCACCTGCTTCCTGGCTTTGAATCAGCATAGCACCAGCCGAGGAGGCCATTTGGGGAGTGAACCAGCGGAAGGAAGACCTTTCTGTCTCGCTCACAGTTTGTATCTCTACCTGTCAAATAAAAAAAAAAATGTTAATTTCCTCTCAGTCATTCACCATGTGAATGTATCATAACTTATTAGTCTTTTCTACTGTTGAGTATTAAGCTTCCTTTTTTCAAAAACTGTCATCAGTAATGATGATGGAAATACCGGGATAGACTGATGGACTTGGGATTACATGGCCAAGGGAATGAAGTGCAAATTCCCTCTTGCTTCTGAATTCCTCTTGAGGAAACTTTTTACCCATTTCTAGTTTCAACATCTACACAAGCTGTCTTATTCATGTTCACCTCCTTTCCCAACTTGAAAGACTAACCCATTTCAGGAATGAGGCCATGGTTGGGGTCCATGTCCTATGGAAAATGTCTGTGCATGGATTCCAACTCAGCTCAATTCCAGAGACCAAGAGAGCACATGAGCATGAGGGCTCAAGATCACTGGGAGTCTTACCATCCCTTACAAGTAGCCTAGCTTTCCTTTGCTTGGTCTTTTAATTTGGTCTGTTCCTCTGAGCTTATTAACAGTGAAATACTCTTGCATCTCAGACAATCTTGTTTACTGCACGAACAAGAAATGGTAGAGATAGAAATCATCACTGCATTTCTCACTGGTCTCAGGAAGTCAGCTCTCTGCCTGATATCTTCATAGCACCCTGTCTTTCTCCCATGTAGCCCTTTGTACAACAACAAATCCTAAATGACTTGCCTGAGTATTTACCCAGCACCTGTCTTCTCCACCAGCATGCACGCTCCACGACGCAGGCCATGACTGCTTGTTTGCTGCTTCCTCTCTAGAGCTGAACACAGTACCCACCCCACTCCCCATACAGTAAATTGTGGGGAGCAGCTCGGACTAGACTGTTACTGGAATTAAGACTTATTCTATGCATCTGCTCTCCCACAATATGGCGCTGGGAGAGAAGTAAACAGCTTCCGCACAGCTGCCTCCAGTTCAACCAATTAACTGTAGGACTTGCTCCTGATTGGAGGAGAGCAGCGTACTCGGCGTGTGGGCAGCCGAGTTGGGATTGGCGGAGGAGGACTATAAAGGAGGAGAGAGACGGCATGCACCGGGAACATCTATGGGGAACATCTAAGGGAACCCGTGCAGCCCCCGAGAGAACCGGCCGGTGGTGTGCCGCTCCCCTGCGGAAGTGGGGAATGTGGCCAGGGGGAACTGCCCTTCCACGGAGGTGGAAGGGATAGTAGCCAACCCGGGAAGAACCAGCAGCAAACCCGGGGAGGGCCGAGCAGACGAAAGAACAGCGCAGGGTCCTGTGTCGTTCCTCCACGAAGAGGGGGAGCGACATAATGGTGCCGTGACTCGGATAGGAAACCTAGGACGGATAGGAAACCTAGCTCGGATAGGAAACTTAGGACGGATATGAAACTTAGGAGGGAAGAAACGGGAAGAACTGGGAAAATACCGGAGAGAGAGACTAGCAAACAGCCTAGGGAAAAGCCGGACGAAAAGGGTGCCGGAAGAAGCTATTGAAAGCCTAGGCATAGACTCGGATACGGACTACGGGGGGAAGCTGGGAGGAATCTCTAAGGTCGAAAGCGAAAGTGAAAGCTAGAACAAACAGACTCGTACGCGGACTGTGGGGAGAGGCCAGGAGAAATGAGGGAGGAATATCGTTGGAGGAAAGCTTGGGGAAACATACCGGGTAGAGAAAAATGTTAGGGAAATTGAAGCCGCGGGGGGCAGGCCAAGGCGGAAACGAAAGCCACTTTGGGGTTCTCAAGTTAGCCCGGGAATAGGGGGCGAAAAGTTGAAACTAGAAGCTGAAACGTGAGCCTGGTTGGGATCCGTCTGATTAGCCCGGGGAGCAAAGGACGGGAAGCCAAACCGTGGGGCGGAGACGTACGCTGGGTTGAATTCGCCAGGCTAGCCCGGGGAACTTGGATTGAATGCTAGTGGTGGAGACGCAAGCTACGCTGTGTTACTCGCGGAAGCCGCCGCGTGCAGAGAGAGCACGGGGCGTGAATAGATAGGGAACGCTGGCGTAGGCCGTGGTTCAGACGCGAAAGGGTTAAGCGTGGAGACCGCGGAGCGCGCGAAGCCGAGCCGCGCAAAGCCGGGAAGCTGCGCAGATGAGAGAGGCGCACGGGCTGAAGCGGCGAGGTGCCGGGAAGCTGCGGGGATAAGAGAAACAGAAGTTTGGAAGTGAAGTAAAAGAGAAATGGGAATGCTGGAAGATAGAAGTGAAATGGGAGAGGTAGGAATGCCCGGAGATAGAGAAATAGAGAAAAATAAGGCCTCCCCTCAACATGCCAATTAGAAGGCTTGGATTCGGTCTGCCCGATTAGTGAGGCGATGAGCACCTGGGCGGCTAGCCGCAGGTCACCGAAGACAGGCACGAATTAACATCAGTAAAGCTTCCCCACAATGCAACAATTAGGAGGCTTGGATTCGGTCTGCCTGATTTAAGGCGGTAAGCGCCAGCAAAGCTCGACCAGAGTATGAGCTGCAGGTCACCGAAGATAGGCACGAACCAACACTAATAAGTCTCCCCCACAATAAGGCAATGAGAAGGCTTGGATTCGGTTTGCCTGATAGGTTTTGTAAACACCTGCAGGCAGTTCTAGCAGAGCAGAGTATGCGCTGCAGGGCACCGAACACAGGCACGCATCAGCGCCTAAAAACCTCCTCACAACATGGCGAAGAGAGGACCCGGATTCGGTTTTCCTGATTGATAGGACTTGTAAGAGCCTGTGGCAACTCTAGCAAGTAGAGCAGAGTGTGTGCCGCGGGACACCGAAGACAGGCGCGTATCAACGCTAAAAAATAAAAAGAAAGGGGGATCTGTGGGGAGCAGCTCGGACTAGACTGTTACTGGAATTAAGACTTATTCTATGCATCTGCTCTCCCACAATATGGCGCTGGGAGAGAAGTAAACAGCTTCCGCACAGCTGCCTCCAGTTCAACCAATTAACTGTAGGACTTGCTCCTGATTGGAGGAGAGCAGTGTACTCGGCGTGTGGGCAGCCGAGTTGGGATTGGCGGAGGAGGACTATAAAGGAGGAGAGAGACGGCATGCACCGGGAACATCTATGGGGAACATCTAAGGGAACCCGTGCAGCCCCCGAGAGAACCGGCCGGTGGTGTGCCGCTCCCCTGCGGAAGTGGGGAATGTGGCCAGGGGGAACTGCCCTTCCACGGAGGTGGAAGGGATAGTAGCCAACCCGGGAAGAACCAGCAGCAAACCCGGGGAGGGCCGAGCAGACGAAAGAACAGCGCAGGGTCCTGTGTCGTTCCTCCACGAAGAGGGGGAGCGACATAATGGTGCCGTGACTCGGATATGAAGCCTAGGCAGGGTTTAGTGTCGTTCCTCCACGAAGAGGGGGAGCGACAGTAAATATCTGTGGAATGAACTGCCCGCTGGGGTGGGGACCCTGGTGGGAAGAATAGGTGCCTCTTGTACTGGGACCCTTGGGCTGGGACAAAGAGAGGCCTTGGGTGACTGTGACCAGGCCCTGCAATGATGCTGGGAAAATGTGCCTCAGGCCATCTGCCCTGATCTCTCCTCCTCACCTCTGGGGACATTCAGTCAGCTGTGCCTCAAGTGGATGCTGGCAAGTGGCTCTGAGGGTCAGAACGGTATTGTCACAGGTGCTCTTCGCCAGGCCTCTCTTAAACCTCCCTCCTGTTTTCTCTCTCCTGCCTTTCTTAAAAAATTATTTATTTATTTGAAAAGCAGAGTTACAGAGAGACAGAGGCAGAGAGGGGAAGAGAGAGAGAGAGAGAGTCTTCCATCTACTGGTTCACTTCCTAGATGGCCACAAAGGCTGGAGCTGCTCCAATCTGAAGCCAGGAGCCAGGCGCTTCTTCCGGGTCTCCCACGTGGGTGCAGGGGCTCAAGGACTTGGGGCATCTTTCACTGTCTTCCCAGGACATAGCAGAGAGTAGGATTAGAAATGGAGCAGGTAAGACTCGAGCCAGTACCCATATGGGATGCTGGCACTGCAGGCAGTGGCTTTACCCATTAAGCCACAGTGCTGGCGCCTCTCATGCCTTTCTTGATACCCCTCCCCACCACACACAAACCTCTCCCTTTGCAGTGGGCTCCTCTTTCTTTCTACTCTGCTGTCTCCATCTTGCGTGGAGCTCTGGCCTCCTATCTACCAGCAGGTGGCCTGACTGATACTCAGCATGAGCTGTGGAACCCTGCCTGACGCAGCTGGAAGTCTGCCTACAAGTGAAAATGCTGATGGACTGCTTCAGAGCACATGAGCCCCGCTGTGTGGACCACACTCAGCAAGGGGGCCTGACCACGGGCTCAGGAACTGAAGACTCACTTCTCCACTTTGGTCTCACACTAATTTGGTTCAGCTGGTTTCCTCCATCTGTTCAGTCTTCTGTATAAGACAGGGACAAATGGACAAAGATACCAAGGAGGGGCCCCTGGAAATTGGAAAAAAAAAAAAAACAAAAAAACAAAAAACAAAAACAACCTGAGGATCTCATTCAAAAAGCAGCTCAAGGTGATCATTCTTTTTAAAAGATTTATTTTACTGATTTGAAAGATAGTTACAGAGAGAGGTAGAGACAGAGAGAGAGGTCTTCCATCTGCTGGTTCACTCCTGAAATGTCTGCAGTGGCCGGAGCTGAGCCAATCTGAAGCCAGGAGCCAGGAGCTTCTTCCAGGTCTCCTATTCAGGTGCAGGGGTGCAGGGACTTGGGCCATCCTCTACGGCTATCCCAGGCCACAGCAGAGAACTGTATCGGAAGAGGAGCAGTCAGGACTAGAATTGGCACCCCTATGGGATGCCGGCGCTTTAGGCCAGGTCTTTAACCCACTGCGCCACAGCACTGGCCCCAGGGTGAACTTTTAATACAACTTTTAAGACACCACTTGGGATGCCTGTATCCCATAGGAGAGTGCCTGGTTCAAGTCCTGGCTCTACTTCCAATTCCAGCCCTGCAATGCACACCCTGGAAGGCAGCAGGCAATCACTCAAGTACTTGGATCCCTGCCATCCATGTGGGTCATGCAAGCTGAGTTCTGGGCTCCTGGCTTTGGCCTGGCCTACCCCCACCTGTTATGGACATTTGCGGAGTAAACCTGCAGAGAGAATATCTATATATCTTGGTCTCTGTCTCTCTTTCAGATAAATGAAAATACATAAAAATTTACAAAACATTCTCTTGGGAGGCATGAAGATGCCAAATGTATTCAGGAGGAGCTGTGAAATGGGGAACACGATAGGAAAGAAGTAAAAGCTCAAAGTGAGTTATTTCGATGAGGAAGTGGGTTATCTCCAGTCTCTGAGGTCCTTGAAGAAACAGCAAAACATTCTTTTCTTGGTTTTGGGCTAAGGATGGCTGTCAAAGAACTTCCTTTGCTAGCACTTTCTGTGGATCTGGCTTGTCCATTCTGATGTGTTGAGAAGCAGGGGCTTGTGGAGGTACAGGCATGAAAACAGAGGGCTTCCTTGAGCTCAGACACTCAGGTCCTCTGCAGGTCCACCGTGTTTGTTGTGCCAAAGGTGGACTACTCAGATGTTAGTCTTTTTTTCACGCAGATGACTAGTGAATGTTGATGAGGACCAGGGTCTGATACCCAAGGTTCCTTCTTACAGATGGTGATTTCCAGTGTTAAGCATCTTTGCTCAAGTGAGCCATGGTTGCTTGTTGAATGTGTCCTATTGTTCATGCTTATGGAGGTAAAAAGGATTAAGAGAAGATCTGTAGAGTGGATTGTGTCCCCTGTAGAGTCTGGAAAGAGAATCGCCCCAGGGCTCCTTTGTCTGGAATGTGGAAGGCGACTTATCCTATTCACTAAGTCTCCTTCAGGAGAATGTGCGAGGGGGTGGGTCACAGGTGTCCTTCCTGTAGTCTTTGCTGGCTTTGGGTCTAGTGGACCTGGGCAACACAGTAGGAGCTGGTGGGGATAGGGATGGTGTGGAAAGGAAAGGCACTGGTGGCGGAAATGGGGTTGTCCACCTCCTAAGGCCTGCACTAGAGGGAGGCACGAACCAGACCCTCACCCAGTGAAGCAAAGGGACCGATTCAGCAGGCGCCTTAAGAAGAGGTGCTTTTGCTTCTGATGGGCCTCATTTCAGAAGGACTCTCCTTCAAGTACCACTTTTTTTTTTTTTTTAGGATTTATTGTATTTACTTGAAAGGCAGATTTACAGAGAGAGAGATAGAGACAGAGATCTTCCTTCTGCTGGTTCACTCCGCAAATGGCTGCAACGGCCAGAGCTGCACCAATCTGAAGCCAGGAGCCAGGAGGTTCTTCTGGGCCTCCCACATGGGTGCAGGGGTCCAGGGACTTGGGCCATCTTCTGCTGCTTTCCCCGGCCATTAGCAGAGTGCTGGATGGGAAGTGGAGTAGCTGGGATTTGAACCGGCATCCATATGGGATGCTGGCACCGCAGGTCAGGGCTTTATCCTCTGAGCCACAGCGCCAGCCCCAAGGATCACTTTTATAATCTTGCTAGCTGCAGGAGCATCATTCCCTCCTGTTGGTGTCGCTGGAAATGGAACGGGGTGGATGCAGACCATCCTGGGACCCACATCCCTCAGACAGTGTCAGGGACGTCCTGAAAAAAGGGCTGTACCTTACCTGTGAATTGCTGTGTACATGTGTGAATGCTTTTCACGAGAATGGATATTGTGGTAAGATAAATAAGTCTGTTTTGTGTTTTTGAACACACAGTTTACAAAGACTTCTAAGTTCAACTATTTTAATCCCAAAATAGTCCTTTAGGTCAGCCTAGCAGACACTGTTCTCAACACTGCAGAAACTGGTCTAAAACCCACCCACACCACTAATAAGTTGCTGAGCCAACAGATAAACCCAGGAGTTCCATTAAAATTCAAGTTCAAGGTTCTGAGGTATTGCTGAACTGAGCAAGAGCCAGCCTGCGCCTCTGGACACCCCTGATGCCAGCTGCCCTTTGTAACAGGAAAAGTCAAGTCTGGTAGGAGCCCGAGGACGTGGAGAAGTACTGGACACAAAATCACTGGGAAATTCCACTCGATGTCCACATTTGCAACTTCTTGAGTAAGTTGAATTGTCACAGGAAGGCCCGGCACCTTCTGGAAACATTTCTCAAGCCGTGTTACATCACCAGTGCTCCCAAGGCCAGGAGGGCGATCCACGTGTGGAAGCCCAGTACTGAGCGGGGGACAGCAGTTGGAGGTGGCCCAGGAAGGTGGCCGTGAAGAAAGCCATCTGGCCATGTGCACGGAGGAGTGAGCTCGTCACATGATGACCTGCCCTGAGTCCACTCAGACTCCCGCTGCTCACGGGCCTCCTCCAGAATCCAAATGACCCCCGAGGGACTCAGAAACCATCTCCTGTTGCTCTCTCTGCTTCTCGGCCCACACTGTAGCTCCCTGCTCCGCACCCCTGTTCCCGCGTCCACTTCTGCGGGCCAAGGGTCCTTTGGCAATGACACAGCTCCTGGGTAGGAGGCAGCAGCTCGCCCTTTCCTTGCAGACCAGCTCCCTTAACCCGGGATGCTTGCTGCTGCCCCAGCTCCTCAGCCTGTTTCTTCCCAAAGAACACGGGTGCACTGGAGAGTGCCCTGCTGCCTGGGGAGGCTCGCCGCCAGTTCCTCAGCTCCAGTCCTAACGGGGAGTCCCTCCGCTTCGCAGTGCCCGGGCCTGGGGCAGGAGACGCGTGCAGCAGACTGACAGGTAAACAGTCACTTTTGAACCCTGTGTCAAAAGTTGGGGTACACTTAATCATGAAGAGGCCAAGTCCAGCCCTCGGTTATCTGGGATCAAAATTCCTTCCAGGGACACTCAAGACAGGTGACTTGCACTGGGGAAGGAGGCACCAGGCCACGGCAGCAGTGGAGTAGCCCTGGGTGGGGAGCCAGGAGTCAGCAGAGGGCCATCTCCTTCCAGCCAGCAAGCATGGAGGAGTGCAGAGGGAGCACAGCCCTGTGAATAGATTCTTTCTGGGGCACAGCACATGTTTGTTTTAAGGCAGAGGAGGTGACCAGAGGCCCAAGCTAGGACATGCTTTGGGGCTCATGCCAAAGAGTTTCCTTTTGAGTTGAAGATTTGTTTGTTTGTTTATTCGAAAGGCAGAACAACAAAAAAGGGGAGAGAGAGAATGAGAGGGAGAGAGAAACATGAGAGGATGGGGGTCAGTGCTGTGGCATAACGGGTAGTGCCGCTGCCTTCAGTGCTGGCATCCCATATGGACGCCAGTTCGAGTCCTGACTGCTCCACTTTCGCTTTAGCTCTCTGCTAAGGCCTAGGAAAGCAGTGGAAGATGGCCCAAGTCCTTGGGCCCCTGCACCTGTGTGGGAGACCCAGAAGAAGCTCCTTGCTCCTGGCTTCAGATGGGTACAGCTGCAGCCATTGCGACCATTTGGGGAGTGAACCAGCAGATGGAGGACCTTTCTCTCTCTCTGCCTCTCTGTAATTCTGCCTTTCAAATAAATAAACAAATCTTAGAGAGAGAAAATGGATCTTCCATCTGCTGATTCCCTCCCCAAATATTTGCAACAGCTAGTGCTGAGTCAGGCCGAAGCCAGGAGGCAGAAACTCCACCAGGGTCTCCCATGTGGGGTAGCAGGGTCTCTCATGTGGGCCCAAGTAGTTGGGCTGTGATCTGATGATGTCTCTGGGTGCATTAGCAGGGAGCTGGACTGGGATATGGGACACAGGAGTCCTCAGCGGTAGGCCATTCCAGGTGACACAATGCCCACAACGGGGTTTTAGAGGTCTAAGGTTGGGAAAGACAGCACATCAACCTGATGTCCCCAAGGAACAGGCCTGATGTTCCCTGCAGACCAACCCTAATGTCCCTCACTGAGCAATCGTGACGTCTCAGATTAACCTGACGTCCCTCACAGACCAATCCTGGAGTATCTCACAGACCAATCCTGGCATCTCTCACAAACCAACCCTAATGTCTCTCCCAGATCAACCTGACGTCCCTCACAGACCAATCCTGGCGTCTCTCACAGACCAACCCTAATGTCTCACAGACCAATCTTGGAATCTCTGACAAATCAACCAGCTTCTTCTCACAGACCAATCCTGGTGTCTCTCACAAACCAACCCTTCGTTTTTCCCAGATCAACCTGACGTCCCTCACAGACCAATCCTGGCGTCTCTCACAGACCCACCCTCACACAGACCACTCCTGACATCTGTCACAGATCAACCTGACGTCTCTCAGGGTTCCAGCCTGTGCTCAGGCCCAGAATAGGCGCACTGCCAAGAAGAACCTCAGGAAAGGGGCCAGCCCCAAGCGGGCCTGACATCGACTCCCCCGAGGAAGCCCCGTCAGATGTCCTCGTCCTTTGCTCTCCGATGCATCCCCTGGGCTAAAGCACATCCGTCCTTCCATGGCGGTGCCTCGCCCCTGAGCCATGCGAGGACAAGTGTCAGAAGAAGGAACACCACAAGCCGGACCCCTGCAGTCCTTTTCCAGCCCTCACACGGGTCACAGAGCCTCTCCTTCAGTCCTGAGGCGGGGTCCCTGCCACTCTCCATTTCTGCAGCCATGGGCCTGGGTGGGGGAGGGGAGCCTCCTTGTCTACTCACTGGGGGTCAGCCCCAGGGAGGTACAAAGGAGGCCCAGCCAATGGGAGGCAGCACTTTCCAGTCTCTCACCCTGGCCTTGTCCCCACCCAGTCCCTGCCGGCCCTTTGAGGAGCTTCTAGTGGAAATGAGCTCAGAGCAATGGAGGCCCCAGGCTCGGGGCCCGGCCCCTCCCCTCGCTCTTTCATGCTGCCTTCTCTCTGCCTTCGTCCCCGGCAGTGGGCTTTCTCCAGTCCTCCCACCCCAAGTGCCCATTCGGCCCTCACGTGCCCCTCCCTTCCGGCTTCAAGCCCTGACTCCCAGTTCCCACGTGCCCCGTTCGTTCCATTCCTCTCATCCCCTGGACTTGCAAGCAGCGGGAGGGAGAGAGCCCCCGCAGGAGTGACGCTCACGCCCCTCCCGCCTCCCTCCCCAGCGGGCACAGATCCCCTGGCAAAGGCAGGTGGCAGAGCTGGTGACAGCAGCTGCTCTCGGGCTCCTCTCCTTGCCCTGTGCTGGCTGGGCTGCCGGGCCTTGGCTCCCTCTTTCTCCAGGTGAGAGGGGCACCTGGGTTCAGGTCCCTCCTGCTCCCATGGATGCCACAGAAAGTCCCCAGGGACAGGAGCAGCAAAAGTCGGCAAGGGAAGCCTGGGACAACCCCGCCTATAGTGGTCCCCCTTCACCTCATGGGACGCTGAGGATTTGCACCATCTCCAATCCAGTGACGCCCCAACCCCAACCCACGAAGCCTGGGGATGGCCCCCAGGAAAAGGCTCCCAAGACCCTGGTGTCCAGCTGCTGCCTGCGGGTCCTCCATGCCATCAGAGGTATGGGGGCGTGGTGTTGGGGAGAGGGTCTCAGGGCATTGTAGGCAAGAGAAGAGGTGGCCAGAAGCTCCTGGGGGGAGGTGGTCTGAAGACGTGAAATTGCATGTCTTTGGGGTTTGTGAGTTGCCTGGGTTAGAACTGGCTACTCCAGTGCTGAGGCCACACTTGAGTCTGCATGGGGGACGCTGGCAGGGTCATCACTAGGGGCCCGCAGGGGCATGTGGGTGCCAGACTGAGAGAAGACATGGGTGCGATGTTTCCTTAGAAACATCCTGCCCGCCCTGGGGCCTCCTTTCCTGCCCTTGTTCTCTAGGATGCAGTGCGCCCACCCTGCCTGCCTGGGGGAGCTGGAGGGAGCAGGGCAGGGCGAAGTGAGCAGAGTGAAGGGGCGAGGCAGTGGGCGCCAGGGGCTCAGGTGGACATGGGCGCAGTCCCAGGACAGGGTGGGGGGGGGTGGCGGGAGCGCCGCCACTCTCAGGCATCCTGGGCGCCCATCCAGGACTCTGGGGAACCACCCTGACTGAGGACACAGCTGAGAACCGGGAGCTGTACGTGAAGACCACGCTGCGGGAGCTGCTAGTGTACATCGTGTTCCTGGCGGACGTCTGTCTCTGTGAGTAGCTTCTGCCTCTGTGTCCCTCTGTCCTGGCGCTGTGTGTGCAGTGTCCGTGTCTGCCTTCCAGTGGGCGACATCCATCTATGCAGGCGTGGCCTGGGAACTTCACATCGATCTCAAACCCCACTTAGTACCTTTCAGTCAACACACTTTGCTTAAAAGGAACTTGTCACTGGATGCAGTGGAAGAGGGAGAGTGCCAGCAAGCTGTTAAGACAGTGGTTTTGGTAAGAATTACCAGGGAACCCAGTTGTTATGTTCCAGTTCCTGACGCTGACCCAGCGGCTCTGGTTTCCTGGTGGAGGTGGGATTTCAGCCTCTGTGCGGCGTGGAAGACACTCCTTTCTGTGTGCTGGCCTCAGCGTACTTCATTACTGTGCTACCTCCGACCGCTGTTTCTTTAGAGGCAGGGAGGAGGGGTTTCAGACAGCTTCCCTGAAGCTCTGGCTGGAGACGCAGCCTGGAAAGCTCGTCTCTAAGTTAGAGAAGCAAGTGGCAGATGGAAGGGTGGACTATGGAAAGAAAGAGTGGAAGAACCGTGTGCAGTGCTGAAGTTGGCCCAGGCCGGTCTCTGAGGCCTGAGGATGAGGGCAGGAACTTTGCACTCAGCTAATTAGTTTGTTCAACAGTTGCACAGGAAGTGAGGTTGGGCTCATTTACTGGAGATGGCTGTGTATGGTGTTCTGGCTAAAGCTGCAGCTGGGCCACACAACTAAGGTGGCCCTCACTAGAGGCCTGGTGGCCTCCAGCAGGTGCTGTTCTTGTTAGGGGCGCGGGTGACTGAAGGAGGAACCTGAAGGTCTGACAGCCTAAGCGGATGTCCTCTTGTCGCCGTGTGAGCGCTCCAGGACAGCTGGGCAGATAGCACTTGCTTCTGCCAAGGCTCTGTGGGGCTCTGTGAGGACGAGGGGCTCCCTGAGGGGCTCTGTGAGGACGAGGGGCTCCCTGAGGGTTTACCACTGGTCTCAGCATGGGGTGACAGGGCCTTGCTCGTGAGGAACAATGGTGCACCCGCACACATTCTGCAGGGCCTCTTGGGTTCCTTTCAGCAAATGACTGTCACAAGTTCATTGTTGACCTTGACCTTCGTCTTCACCACCTGCTAGGAAGCAGTGTTCCTTTCCTCTTTCAGATCCCGTGACACTTGCTGAAAGGCACAGGCAGCTCCTCTCTCCCTGAGTGACTTAAATGTCTATAGCTCCAGATCAGCCTTTGGGACACGAGCAGGCAGTCTCTAGCTCCCAGAGTTACAGGGAATATGTCTTACTCCTCCGGATAGGGCTGGCAGGAAGTGGTGGAAGTTTGGGTTCTGGAAGCGCAGAAGTCTGGTCCACTCGTGTTCTCTGCTTTCAGAGGTCAGTGCAGTGGTCAGTGGCAGGTGCTGTGGGGCTGGTCAACGTCAAGGCAGAGACTCAGACCAGTCGCTGTGGAATCCTTGAGGGGCCGGGGCTTCAGAGCCTCTAGCTTGAGGCTGCAGAATGTGCAGAGTGCCTGCTCTGGCGTCTCCCTTGGTGCTCTGGCAGGTGGCCAGCCAACCCCAGCCTGGGCAGTGCCGATGGGGACCTCAGTGTCTTGTGGAGCGTTCTGTTTTCCTACAGTTGGGCAGCTCTATTCGCTTCCATTTCCAGAGGCCCCTCCTCTGTGCAGACACTGTGGGGGCTCATGGACGACTGGACACATGGGCCTTTCCCATCAGGGGCTCCCTTCTCCTTTTCAGGACTTTCTTATTCTCTTGAGTCATCGGCTTGCCTTAGCGTCTGCAGTGACCTTTCCACTGACTGAGTGCTGTAGCTGTCATGTTTCTCCTTGATCATCTGTGCTTCTAGCTAAATAATTTCTGTTTCTCAGGAAACCAGACACTGTAGTAGTGTTCTTAGAGGTGCTCTTATGTACAGGTGGAAGGCACAGGCTCTGAATTTGCACAGATTTAGGTTCAAGCACCACACTCGACTATTTACCTGTGAGGGACACTGAGCAAGTCGCTTACCTTCCTTGAAGCTCAGTTTCCTCCTGTGTACCTATGTAATACAAGAGGATTGTGGGAGGTAATATCCGTGAGGTCACTCACTGAGTGCCTGGCTTGTATTAGAAACTATTGTGGATGCCCACCACACTTATGCTGTCTCCAGCCCTGGTATAAATGAAGCCAAGTACAGGAGGACAATATTCCATGGGTATCTGACCAGGCCAGGATGCTCCTGCTGTATCCAGAATTGGGGGCCTATGAGGTCAGACAGATGAAGTGATATCTGAGCAGGGACTCAAGAAATCAGCAACATTTCATTTGCAAGGGGAAGATGAAGAGAAGGGAAGTTTCTGAGAAGAGGGGAGAGTATTACCAAGGCCTGGGGACATGGGGGCACAGTTTAGTGGATGTGCGTCATGTGCAGGAGCAGAGGGACTGAGCAACAGAGTGGGAGCAGATGAGCAGGCCAGTTAAGCAGAGGCAGATCGTGGTGGGCTGGATAGATCATTATGTACAATTTGCACTTAACCTGAGGGCCCCAGGGAAATCACTGAAGGGCTATAAGCATGGGAGTGACATCAGAAATTTTAAGTTCTGCCAATTCTGGGAAGCAGATCTAAGTTGGACCTGAGCAAGTTGAGTGGGGAAGATGATGATCCTGTGCTAAACATATTAACTGGGTATTTTATTTAAGCCTTACAACAACATTATCATGGCCACTGAGCCCATTAAGTGGCAGCATAGCATGTTGGATAAGCCCCAGGCCGCTGAGGTCAGGCTCTGGATTCAAGGTCAGACACTTCCAGTTTCCAGCTGTGCGACCATGAGCAAGCTTTCTCACCTCAGAAATGATCATATCTACTTGGTGAGATTGTGAAGGTTAAATTAAATGGCCCACCAATATGTTTAGCACAATTTCTATCTCGCACATGGCAAATACGGCCTGTTGTTCCTTCAACTGATAGCACACTCTGTAAAGCTATGAACCCAGCCAGTGATGGAGGATGAAGAGGGGAGAATTAATCTGGAAACCCCTAACTCCTGTGTGTTAAAATCTCTAAACTACCCGAAGACCTGCCATTTAACTACCCTTGACACTGAGAATTGGTGTCCACACACAATGTGCCAGCCTTCATGAGAGCTTTCTATGAGAGAATTTGGAGACCTTTGTAGTCTGATGGTTCCTACCATACTTAGTAAAGTGATACTCCTGCTAGTTTCCTAGCCTCCATGCTGTCCCTGCCCCTTCATTCTTTCAAACAAATTTTCAGGTCAATGGAGTCTTGGACATGGTCTCAGTAGGGCCACTGTGGCACTTGCAAAGGTCCTGGTCTCACCTCCCTGGCTTTCAGCCCCATTAATCTCTGAGCTCTGGCCACGTGCACACTCTTTCCATGGGGATGATATAGCCCCCAAGGGGATGAAAATAGGTTCTTGAGGCCAAAATCCCCTGGGTATTGTAATGGCTTTTAGCCCTCTAAAAGGCAACAGTACAGAAACAAATATAGTCTATCGGGAATTAAAATGTAATTGGGGTGGGGAGTGATTAGGAAGACAACATCTAAAGAGGCTCTTACAGGGAGGGCTCATGCAAAATGTTAATAAACACTGGAGGGGCCAGCGCTATGGCATAGCGGGTAAAGCCGCCACCTGCAGTGCTGGCATCCCATATGGGTGCCGGTTCGAGTACTAGCTGCTCCACTTCCGATCCAGCTCTCTGCTGTGGCCTGGGAAAGCAGTGGAAGATGGCCCAAGCCTGCACCCATGTGGGAGACCTGGAAAAAGCTCCTGGCTCCTGGCTTCGGATCTGCTCAGCTCTGGCCATTGCGGCCATTTGGGGAATAAACCAGCAGGTGGAAGACCTCTCTCTCTCTCTCTCTCGCTCTCTCTCTGCCTCTCCTTCTCTCTCTGTATAACTGTGACTTTCAAGTAAAATAAATAAATCTTAAAAAAAAAAAAAAAAGAAACACTGGAAAGAACCACCTAGTTTTGCTCATCAGTACACTGATTGAGCTCTCCTACCTATGGCTGGGGGATCTAAGTCTGGCCTAAAATCAGCCCAAAGCAGGTGTTCCACCAGAATGCTGTTGTCTAAGGACTGGAGTGCGTGCTTTCCCCTTCAGTTTCTGTGACTGGCCTCAAATGCTCCAGGACCCTGGTTTAGTACTAGGGGAAACTCTTTGGCCTAATGGATAGATAAGGACATGAGAGTCAGACAAACTGGATTCAAACTGCCACTTCCTGATGTTGTGGCCTGGGGCACTTCCTTGGTAGAACAAGCATAATAATTCTTACCTAAATAGAGATGACAGGTATTAGGAATCTAGCACAAACACTGGTAGCAATTATCTTTTTATTATCTAGAAGAATTTCAAAGCCTTTGGTCCTGTAAAAACAATACATTTCAAAAACTAAACCAATATAAAAAGGCTATATAACGTGAGTTTCCAAATAAATGACATCCTGGAAAAGACCAAACTCTGGAAGTAGTAAAAGTTCCCAGTGGTTGCCAAGGGCTGAGAAGTGAGCTGGATGAATAAGCAAAACACAGAGGATTTTGAGATCCCTGAAGGTACCTGCGATGGTACTGGATTATGTTACAACATAAATGGAAATCATTATACATTTGTCCTACCCCTCAGGATGAACCACACCAGCAGTGAGCCCCAAAGCACACTACAGTAGACCTTGCGTGATAATGAGTGTCAATGCAAGTCAGTTGTGTAACGAGTGTAGCACTCTAGTGTCTCTAGTGTGTGGTTTTGTTAACGGGAAGGCTGCAGGTATGAGGGTGTGGGTGCAGGGAATACATGGGGAATCTTTTCCCCTCAGTTTTAGTGTGAACTTTTTTATTTTTTTTATTTTTTTATTTTTTTTATTTTTTATTTTAGTGTGAACTTTTAACTACTCTAAAAATTAGCATGCATTTTCAAAAGTGCATTAACAGTAACTTTCATGGCAATATTTGATCATATTTATTTCAAAATAGCTGAAAGAATTACAAATATTCTCACCACAAGAAAATGATACAT